ATTATTAATAGAGTGATGAAAATTAGATAGGGAAGAAAATATAGTATTCTCCCGGAATGTTACATGTCGAGAAATACAAAGGCATTAAGAGATAGGATCCCAACATCTATACCCTTTGTATTCTATACCATAATGAAAAAAACAACATAAATGAGCATGAGGTTCTAATTTGGTGTGTTCATGTGGTTGTAGAAGAACAAAACAAGCACAACCAAAAGGTTTAAGGAACGAATAATTTAGGAGATTTCTAAAGAGTCTTTTATAAGGAGATAGTTATTGAGGACCAAAGTAGGAATGTGATTGATGGCAAAGAAAGTAGTGAGAGCTGTTTCTCCCTAAAATCCTTCAAGACAAGAAGCAGAAAGCAATAAAGTGCATAAGGAATCAAGAATATGACGGTGTTTATGCTTTGCTAGCCCATTCGTTAGAAAGAATGAGGACAAGAGCATTGGATAATAGTACCATGTTGATCAAGAAAGCTAAGCAAAGAGGATTCCTTATATTTCATGACATTATCGGTGTGAAGAATCTTAATGCTATGAGAAAAAATGAGTTTTAATCATAAGGGAAAATTTAATATAAATGGAAGGCGAGTTCGAACAATGTTTTAGAAAGTATATCCAAGTAAAGCAAGAAAAATCATCAATAAACAACATAAAATAACGATAATCATTAATCGAAGTAATAGGGGAAGGACCCCAAATATCAGAATGAATAAGTGCAAAAGGAGTATTTGAGATAGAAATACCGATATTAAAAGACACGACTAGTTGTTTACCAAGTTGACAATCAAAACAATGAAAAGACTCAAATTTAATAGATCATAACAAGCCAAGAAAAGCTAAAGACTAAAGTTTATCGATAGAAGCATTACCAAGGTGAAGATACCATTGATAGAGGGAGGAATGTGTGGTAGTTACAGATACAAGTCTTTGAGGAAGATGTAGAGAGAAACGCTTAAATAATCATTCTACTCGCGACCCTTTCCAAGAATCTAGCCGATCTATATATCCCGAACCTAACAACCAAATGAAGAAAACAAAACATTTAATCCTTGTTCACACAATTGGCCAACAGAGATAAGGTTTAAAGTTAAATTAGGAACATAATAAGTACTTGAAAGGCTAATATTAGAGGTAAAAGCATGGTCGGTGTGAGAGATGTGCATTTGGGTACCATTAGCCGTATCTATAAGTGTTAAAAAAGTGATTGATTATTTTGGAGATAAGATATCATAACTCGAGGTCATGTGATTGCAACATGCGAGTGTCAAAGAGCCAAGAAGAATTACATGAGATAACAAACATAGTAGGAGAAGAACCGAAAGAGATAACCTATTTAAGAAGAGCCTCATAGTGATAGCAGTAGATTCCTCGGTGACAACGAGCAGAATAGATGAAGAGTTAGAATTTGAGAGAACCCGAGATTTAGAAGAACTATTTTTTGGTCGTAGAGGTCGAGTAAGACAATGTTCCCGGTTTTGTCCAAAACCATGACAATATCTACATTTGATAACTAGGACATTTGCAAAAGCATGATCAACTTGATGACAATGCTTACAAAATAGAGTTTCAAATTTCGACAAGAAGATTTGGAATGAGTGGCGAAAGAACAACTCGTAGATGAAGGAGTTTTATCTAGATTAAGATGTGTTTCCTTAAAAATAATCTTGTGAACGATAGCATCTAAGGTAGGCGAGAGGATTACGATGCAACAAAGAGGCTCTAACAACCTCATATTTTGGTCGAAGTGTCATAAGAACCTAAATGAGACGCAAATGATCTTCATTGATTTTGGCTTGAGATAACTAATTCCAAATAGGTTGAACCAAAGCAAGAAAGTCATTTACGGATTGATGGGCTCTCGTTTGATATTATAGAGAGTAGTACACAATTGATAATAGTGAGCAAGAGCTGTAATGGTGTATCGATTAGCTAAAAAATCTTATATTTCTTTAATAGTGTTATAATCGGCAAACTAGATGTGAATGGATGAAACCGAGGTATTGCGAAACAAAGTGATAATGTGGTGATTCTTACTATCCTAATCGTCAAATCGATCAACAAATTTGGCGACGAGACTCATCTTTTCTCGGAATTGGTTTAGCTATGTCACCAATTACAATGTGCTAGAGTTTATGCCCAATTAAAAAACTTTTTATACGTTAGACCCATAGATTATAGTTGATACCGTTTAAAGTTGTGGCAATGTGAGAACCTCGGATTTATCCATGTTAGAAAGATAGAAACAATAGAATTCAAAAAAAAAAAAAAGAGGATTAGAAGGGAAAAATCGGGCTAGGCAAAGGCACAAGAATTAGAACGTGAAAGAAAACATGTAGGAACAAAGGCGAATATTATCAAGAGAGGAGACGGAGGCTAGGGCTCGATACCATATGATAAATTGGAAAGCTTGTATGTTTTTTGCTTTGTGTAGTACAATCGACCCTAGATATATATACGGAATAATAGTCTAAAGAAAAGGAAATAAGAGCTATACAAGGAAAGAAAAGGTTGTACATAAAATCTCGTGATCATTGGCATATTTTATAGCCTAACCTTTAATGGAAACACTAATAATGTTAACAAAAATAATCTAAAATGGGCTTGGAAGGAGATTGAAAATTATCCCAAAAATTATGCCATCAAATACTTCTTCATACCTCATAAACAAGAAACTAAGCCAAAAACTACGACAATCACATAAGAAATCATTGCAGAAAAAAAAAAAAAAGGCCGAAAAATAGAGAGAAAAAGGAGAGAAAAGAGGGGGAAAAGAGCAAGAAATACATGAGAAGCTTTCTAGGAGTTTGTAAACAAAGAAAGAAACAACAGGTAAGATTCTTTGGGCTTGTACATGTTTTGGCCAAACTTGGTCTTTCTCTTTTCATTGATCAAACCATGTTTTAAGAATTTTTTTTTTTTAAAAATATTTGGTCATGTTTTTCTCTTTTTTCCATGTCTTTTTGGGCAAAAAATCATAGCCATGGAAGAATAAAAATGCAAAAAAAAAAAAACACAAAAACTCTTGCCTGAACAGCGACACTTTGTTAAAGTTTGGCATGATTGTTACACTTTAGCTCTCATGATTGTATTTTGTTTACTTTTAATAATTCGAAAAAAAATAAATTTTCAATTGGATCCTTTAATTTCAAATAATAAGGGTTAAATTAACAAATTTTTTTTAGAACTAGAGGCTGTTTTGTTTAATTGTGAATTGGACAATTTTTTTTTTATGTAAGTTTAATCTAAATTTTTATTATGTGGTAAACAAACTGGTTTTCTAATTATGTATTAAGTTTTATCATTTTTAGAGACTATTTGAGCATTCATTTGAATTTTCTTTAATTCATACTACATAATTAATTTTGCATCAAAAATAAATTGATGAGGAGCTTTTACCCTTAAATTAGAGTTGCTGCATTCTTACTTATAATGTATAAAACGATCACCACATCATCTTCACCCATATGATGCTATTTAATACTAGTAATTCTAAAATGTTATACTTCAAAATTTTAAGGATTTATTGCATCTAAATTAAATTCAACAATAAAATTAAATCAATTCGAGCTGTCCATATTCTATCAAAATGTTCCTGACATGCCAATAATTTCAAGACTATAATAGAATCCGATATTGAATTAACACAACTCCTCATTTTGGAGCTCAATAATAATTTAATATGATTCCCTTGTTAATCATAACTCATTTAATGTAAATTAATTTTTTGAAATGTCTCTGACATGTCATTTGTGCTGAGATTATATCAAATTCAATGTTCAATTGATTTGACTTCTGATTTTAAGAACTGATGTTAGTTTAATATAATTTCAAAATAAATAATAAATCTTTCAATGTATTCTAAGATAACCCCAATTGTAAATGTGAAAACATAATTCCTCAAATGAATAACCTGATTTAAAAATAAATTCGAAGATATGTGAAATATTTTAGCAAACAATATTATTTTTTGAAAAAGAATAGACAAGTTCGGTAACATTTTTTAGGGAAGAAGAATGCTGTGAGGTGATTTTCATCTTTACAATAAATATAATCAACTCGTTATTGTAATCTCCGAAAAACTAGTTACATCCTTGACTGCTTTTATGGAAAGGTCCACATCTCCGTAACGATAAGTGCTGTACTATTTTTTGATGTAGCAGCTTTTTTCACTTTTCTTGCCTAAATGTTTATTTTAAAAATGAAACCTTCCAGCCGGAAATATGACCATTAGAAGTAAAAATTTAATTGTTTCTATTCAATTATGACTAATTCATTGGCTTATTAAAGCAAAATTAAACAATCCACGCAAGCGTTACACGCACTACATTACAGAAAAGAACTTATAGGCTGTTATGGAAAAGAAATCCTAACATTATTAACTATTCAATATTAATATAAAAAGGCTAAATTATCATAATTATTCTGTATTATAGTGACATGAAAATTTTGTATCCCTACTTTTCTGAAATTGCAAAACACCCTATAATTGATATATTCATTTTCACTTGGCATCCTATGTTTTAAATATGTTTTCACATTGCATTTCCGTCTGTCTCCATCCATTAAATAATAATAATAATAATAATGTTCAGTTTATTACAAAAAATATCATTAATCATGTGTGATAACAATTTGTATATACAAGCTGTCTTAGAAGATGTTTCAAGCACATGAAAATACTACAAGTTAAACAAAACATTGAACGGATGAAACTGCATTGTTATACATAATGTTTATACATCAAAAAAAAAACCCAAAAACAAAAAAACAAGTGGAAAAAAAAAGGCGTCTACCATGCTTTTTACATATCCTAATCCTGTAGTAAAAGAATGCATTAAAAAAAGAAGAAGAAGAAGCATGCCTCGCGATCAATACGCTTACAAAAGAAATTGGAAAAGAAAAGGAAAGCAAAAACAATCTGCTGAGTGTATATCCTTCATCTTTTTACGATTTTGAATATCTTCTTGAGTCCATCATTGCATGCCTTGTGTGTTTTTAAGTGATAATGAGTAGATTATTCTCGTGTCCGTTGTTGTGTACAATAGGGCGTAGGGGATCAATCCTCCACTCACCATCAACAATGAATTTGATCTGTACCATAAGGTGAAGTGTTTGAGATACACTGTTTAAGGTACCAGATTATGCAAGTGGGCAAAAATGATTTACCTCATATCTGCCTGGATACAATTTCAGATACACAGAAAAGATGCCCACACTAGACTTTTCCATTCTTCTCTGAAAAATAGCAATGCAAGTTTTACTAATTCTGGTCTGAAATGATCACATAGAGGACATTTTTATTCAAATGGAAAAATCACATACAGAAATATAACAGCATGCCATTGCATTATCTATAAATAAAGCAAACACATAACATGCATCGGTCTAGATCTGGTTCCCAATGCAACAACGTATAAGAATACAAGTAAAAAGCAGCAGAAATGCAAGGGAAAAAAATGATCTGCAACAGTAGCAACACAAAAAATAAGCAGCCTTGACAACTCTCGACCCATAATTCTCAAAAACATAGGAAATAATTGTCCCCAAATCTCTTGTTTCATACGAGGAACAAATGTAGATTCCCAGAAATAGGAAAAAATATTTCAGACGATGAAACATAATTTTACTCCTAAGAGGTCTCTTTTATTCTTTTTATGTGAAGGCTGGTAGCAATATGTTATCAAACCTAGAAATGGGGGCGGGATTAGAGTGGGTTAGGGTAAATTTCCCCTTCCCCAGTCCACCCAGTCCATCATGTTATATCAGCATGTGCCCAGCATAGTTGTTGCAGCACAATAGAGAAAGCCATGCAGAACGATCACAAGGATCAATAAATCTAGAGGTTGCAGCAGAATAGAGACCAAAATCCATACATTCAAGATAAACAACCTTTTTATCAGAGCCAGCTCTCTCTGGACAAACAACAGCTTTTGCTATTCAACTAAGCCTAACTACTATGAATAAAGCCTTTCTGTGTCGTGCAACATGCTTCTTGACATTCACAAGACAGTACACCACACAAGATGCCAGACAACCAAATAACTCCCAAGTCCCAACGTCCCATAAGGCTTTAGGCTTAAGATATTACGTCTCTCAGTATGACTAGCAAAGTTAAAAAGGATGTTTCGCCTCAACAAACCAAAAAATATAAAAACAAATATGAATGCCTATGCATTTGATGACTGCAAAACAACTCCTTGCTCTAATTTAGACAAGCCAGTATTATTAATTCTAAGTTCCTGACAAATCAATTTAGATGGGATCAAACCTGGGTGGTCCAACCATCAAATGATCCTGCAAGGAATACCTCTGAGGCAGAACTAGGCCATACTATACAAGCAGTACGAAGAAGTTTCAAAGCTCTAGAAGCATCATCGATCCTTTTCTGTTTCTCTTCCATTAACTTTTGTGCATCGCTGTTTAAATACAATTATGGCAGAAATGGTAAAGCAAATTAGAGCTATGCACCAGTTATTTTTTCAAGTAGGCTACGTGCCATTAGATGAAAAAAAACCGAACATACATTATTGCAAGTGCCATTTTGCCTTCCAACACTGCTAATTTTGCCCTTGTTGACCGTAATTTACCCTGGGCATTCATGATCTCATTTTCCTGGAACTCCCAAGCATCAGAAAGCTTCAGCAGATCATCAGAGGAGCTTCCATTATCCTGGTGAAGAGTATAACACATGATTTGAAAGAGTTCAAGATATGCCTTGGATAATTTTCTAAAGAAACTACATGAGCAATTGAATTTACCCGAATTGAGAAAATAAAACAAAGCAAAAATGAAGATTGCGAGTCTGCAAATTTACTTTCTTTTTGAAAGAAATAAAAAATTATCTTAGCAAATACTCCTTTAAATTAAATCCCAAAAACACAAGATGAGAAAGCTTTATTCCAAACTGATGGCCAGAATAAGTCACGAAATTCATTTATCATTTAGAATTTGATTAACACAGTTAACAAATACCTTGTAGTCCAACTATTTCTGGGACAAGAGAGAACAGGGCAAGAGGGACAGAGATTGATGACGAAACAAAATAATCCCACACGAGTGTTCTCCACTCAGGAAAGAAACGATATAGAGATGATGTCTATTCAAATGTTATTGCCTTTCCAGAGTCATTTTCCTAAAAAGCACTTGGAAGATGCATTGCATTACTTACCAAATAAGGTTCAAACAAAAACCAGACAAAGTTCATTCACAGTATCAGCTTATATTGACTCATGAATGTGTAACAAGCAATAAACAGGTATAAGTTGAGTTCCACATTGACTTCCAGTTTTTTCTTTCAAGAAAAAAAAGAGTAAAAAGAGAAGGATTCATAAATCTAGTTTCAAACAAATTTGAGTTCATCGAGAGCACAGTTTATATACCACTTTCTGTGATACACTTTCACCAGTGTTTGACTTCAACAATTGCAGCACAGAAGAAAGCTCTAACTCCAGGTCCCATAGGCGACTTCGTACTTGAATCTGATTAATCCCTCCATCAGAGCAGTTTTCTTTCCTTCTGTTGACAGTTTCACTAGCACCTTCCCTTGTTTCAAGTATTTCTTCTCCTAAAACATTCTTCTCACCTCCTGAACGAGTTCTATTAGAGCTAAGTTCTTCAGCTGTACATTGATAAACAGAGAGAAGTCAGCAGATCCAAAATGTAAAGCAGTCCAACCTCCTCAACATCAGCTCATAGAATACCTTCAAATTGCATGTCTGAAAACCCTGCCCTCTTAATGCTCCAAGTTCTCCACATATCTGGATTTAGCGAATTTCCAGAACCATCAGTATTTGAAAGAGATCTGCTGTGATCAAGGCTGTCTCCCAAATCATTACTTACACTACTCTTGGGGTTTAATAATCCAGGTATATTGTTAGCATTGGGGCCAGCAACTGTCTTTTACAATGGAAAAAAAATAAAAAAACACTATAAGTTAGGTTTATGAGGAATGTACAACTACTAAATCATTTTGATACCAAAAGACTCACATATATACATAATATGATGATTAAATTACAATTGAAGTGGTGGAAATAATGACATCTTAATTAACTAAATGGTATTATATTAAATAGTCTCTTATGCACTACACACATCTTCAACGGCAAGTAATCCACAGATGGATGAGGTATCAGACATGGAATTTACGAAAAATATAGGTTACTGATTTTAATTTGAAAAGAAAAATACAACTTACCCCATTCTTTGTGGTTTTAGCGAGCCAATCATGGTTAATTTCACTACTTTGGACATGAGTAGTGCTTTCAAGCTCTTTTAAAGCAAAACCCAAATTCATATTCCTTTCTTTCTCTAATCGATACAGTATACCCCCAATCCCAGCATCATCCTCAGTCACTCTTTCTCTGAGAGCACAGAATAGATGGATCAAAAACCACCCATGACATTTACAAATTGATGAGAAAATGAAAAATTCAAAATTCAAAATTTATGGGAATTTGGCATGGAAAGAGCTATTGAAAGTCATGAATATCTGTTACTTTTCTTTTAATTTTGAATGAATTGTTACCCATTTACACCCTGAAATGTGGAAGAAAAAAAGAATTTGGAGGGAAAAAAACTGAAGAAGAAGAGCAAAGCATTACTATTTGCAACGAGTAAACAAGGGGAAAATAACAAAATTAAAACCTTTCAGTTACGTGTTGCAGTCATGCTCATCTAAGGTGGCCATGATTATCCTAGACTACTAGCTGATAGTATCCTCGTATGTATTACAAGAAACATACTTTCAAAGCTTATAAATCGGAAAATGAAGCTTTGACACTCAAAAGCAAAAGGATAAGAGTATCCATTCATTCATTCATACATCCATCCACAAAATGAAATGTAGTTAACAAGCTGTCTCTTAGCCTTCTTTTCTTTTAGATTGTGTAATTCAATATAAAGCGAAAAGAAACAACAATTGCAACAAAAAACAAGAGTGGTTAACAAAAATTAGAAGCCTCACAGTGATCTACCAGAGGACGAGCAAGGAACCTGAGAGCTTTGTTCTTCATTACGCTCTATAGCATTATCTTGAATTCCGGCGGCACTGCATTCTTTAGAAGCCGTCAAAGAAGAATACCAATCTACTAAATCTACATCTACATCTACGTCATAAGCATTATCATCTAAATCCCAGCCCAACGCAAGCCACCCTCCTTCCTTCGAGATAGCCTCAACAAGATCCACTCTTCCTGCATCAATCAACTGTTTCTTGCTTGGAAACATCTCTGGATTTTTTGAATTCTTCATGAACTCCAAAATCTCATTCTCCAATTCAATATCGCCCTCACTACTTTCCCAATCCCTTCTATTACACCTCCTTAAAAAACCACCAACACAACCCCAACAGGTGTTTTTCAATTCAAGAAATCCACCCGCCTCCTTCACTGCGTGAAAGCGTAACTCGTGGTTTCTTACTTTTCCTTTTCTGCTAAGTTTATGACTATTAGAAGTAGACTCAAATTGAGTGGAAGGAAGAAAGATTTGAGGGCTCAAATCTATGAAGCAGTTAGGTGCGTAAGTGATAAAGGAGAGCATGATTCAGGCATTTCGTCGAACAACTAGAGCGCAAGCAAAAACAAGGAAACAATGACGAGAGATAGAGAGAGGGTGTGTTATAAGACCAAGCAACGAACAACATCCACTTTAGAAAGTCGCGCATTTATTGAAGTATGAGTTAATTATAAGTTAGTCCCTCTAGTTTATCAAAAGTAATTAATTAATCACTATAGTATCAAAAATATTAACTAGCCTCTTGACCAACATTGACCACTCTTATATATATATATATATGAGTTAATTATAAGTAAGTTAGTCCCTGTAGTTTACCAAAAGTAATTAATTAATCACTATAGTATCAAAAATATTAAATAGCCTCTTGACCAACATTGACCACTCTTTATATATATATATATATATTCATAAACCTTCTTTTCTTGTCAAATTTTCTCATGTTTTCTACTTCTCTTTTCCTTTTTCTAATTTCTAAAAAAATAAATTTAATAAAAGAATTAAGCTATAAACAAATTTGAAAATATCGTTATTAAATGGATAAATTACAATAATTTCTTTGAAATATCATGAAATTATACATACCATTCTTACATGTGGAAGGAATTTCTATCAAGTTTTTAGATAATCCATGTAATTTCATAATACCATTTAACAAATTAACCTAATCAATTAACAATTAAATATAAACATCATGTAAATCCAACCAATTAAAAAAATTAACCTAACAATTATGGAAAAAAACGAATTGTTTTAGGAAACAAGAGAGAGAGAGAGAACATACCTTATGACAAAGAAGAGACAAAGAGAAAGGAGGTAATTAAAGGCTTTTTAGAGAGAAAAGAGTTTGGAGTTGATGGGCGTTGCTTGGAGAGTGAAGGAGCGGGTTTTGTGATCGTTTTGAGTGGGGATGACAACAGCAATTGGAGGAACGAGAGAGAGAGGAAGGGAAAAAAATGTGATTTAGGGATTTAGGATTACCGACGAACATGATTCGGTGGCTAATCGGTGATGAACATAAGTGTCCCTCGTCGATTTGGTAGATTTTGAATTCCCAAAGTTTGCAAATTTGTTTAATATTAGCAACGGAAGATTTGTCGCTAATTTGTGAGAAAATATTCCATTAGCAATGAAAGATTTTGTCACTAATCTTGAACTAAAAAATAGCGATGGAATCAAAAATTTATCACTAAGTTCCCTCACAATTTTCTCGCTAAACCGTTTTTTGAAATGGTCATGAATATTTTGTCGCCAAATATAGCAACGGATATCGTTGCTTTGTTGAAAATCCGTCGGTGTTTTGTAGCTAAGGTTCACACCTTGACACTAGTTGCGGTTCGTTCATCGATTCGTCGCTATTTAATAACAAATTCTAATCCGTTACTATTTTTAGATTTTCTTGTAGTGAATAATAATCTTTTGAAAAACCAAAATAAAATTATCACCATAGAAAGTGGTGGTGAAAGTGACAAAAGTAACAATTCTTTGAATAATAATAAAAATAAAAATAAATAAATAAATATCATAAAAATTGGTGGTTTTATGGCAAAAAAATGACATTGTTAACGGTGGTAAAAATAATGATATATCATTTTTCTGCAAAAGAAAATATTTTTATTCTTTATTTTTATTTTCACCTATCCTAGAAGAAGAAAACATATTAAATTTTTAGTTTTATTTTCTCTTCATTTTTTTAAACCAAATATTTTTAAAATAAAAATTAAATTTTGATGTTCATTCCTAACATTTCATTTCTTATCACCAAATAACGTCATTTAGCTGCCTCAAGCTACTATAATTTGTAATTTTGTTAAAAAATAGAAAAAAGAAAAAAACTAATTTGCACCATTATATTTGAAAAAGGTAGATTTGCATCCTGTGTTCTATTTTTTTTTTTCAATATTTCCTATTGCCTATAATTGTACGAGCGTGGATCAATTTGAAACAATTGATAATAAGACAGCGGACACGCCACATACCATTTAAAATACCTAATTTGGCCTTTTTTTTAAATGACGAAACATTAAGAAATAAAAATAAAAACCGAAAAACATGAAAAAACATGAAAATCAATTTGTTGTTTATATAAATTTCCACGTGGAAAGACTTTATTTTCGTTTTTAGAATTTGCTTCCTAATTCCCTAAGGTCGTATGTAATTATATAGATTTACATGTTTTTTCTTGTTTCAAATTTGGGTTTGTAGGCTCCCAGAGTCTTCATTCTTTTTTAACTTTCTTGTGTATAACATTTACTTGGTTATATAGGAAATGTTTATTATCTTTTTTTATTTTTTTAGGGTTTTAAGATTTGAAAGAGATTTCATATTTATTTGCTAACTAACATGTAAGGTGGAGCGCATGATCTTTGACACGTGTCCAAATGCTAATCATGTGAATTTCACTAGATCATTTAAATTGATGGTTCTTAACTTTTGTTGTCAAATGGCAAAAATTACCCATCTTTATGCAATTTTAGGATAAATTAACAAAAAATGAAATGCAGGATGCAAATTGACTTTTCCACACAAAACAGAGGGCAAAATAGAGTTTTGACCTTTAATTGATAAAATAAAAAAAAGGACGTGTTTGGGGAAGTGTAGATTTATTTGGATAGGGTGTGTAGATGAGGTACACGTGATCTTGTGATTTGACGACAAGATTCAAAGCTTCTTTGCTCCTACTTTGCTTGTCTTAAGAGAAGGAGACATTTGACTTGCCGTCCTCTTCAAGTCAAATATAATAATAATGGTAATAAAAAGGGTGTTTTGTCCATTGGGGAAAATATTAGTAAGAAATGCCACTGAAAGAGGAAAAAAATGGAATTGTGAGTGATTAAGGTAAAGAAATTTGGAGGATAATTGTCCATCATACAAGACTTCGTAAGATTCTTAGCTTGAGGGGAACATCAGAATTCAGAATCTCTCTTTCTTGCTCATTTTCACACCACTTCTCGAATTTTCTTTTTCTCTTTTTATTTAATGCTCTGGACTCTGGTTATATAATTCCACGAAGCGGTTTGATTGGTAATATACTACCACCATTTCGTTGGCACTAAATTAATGCTCGTGCTATGCTGCGGTAAAATGAACACCGAATAAGAAATAATTTTATTTGTTTTCGTAATATGGTAAGGAAGTTGGAAAGATTTGGAAGATTTGAATTTGATTTATTTTGCTGTTTGATGATAGATGTTTTTTTTTTTTTTTGAAAGACAAAGATTAAGATGGTCTGACAATAATTAATAATTGTAAATCGTCATTTGGCAACTCATATGTATACGTATCATTTGTGTTCTTATTAGCAAAAGTTAGGCAGCTAAAACTGAATTGAAGACATAACACAAAATAAACACAAATCTTATCACAGTTATTCAATAAGTTTTTTACAACTGAGTCTGACCAAACTTAAAGCAACCATGGCACGGTGGTGTTAAATAAACACAAAATATGATTTTACGATCAGGAATTATAAGCCAAGTCACACCCACCAGCATCCCAGAAAAGAGAACACAATTTTAAAATTAAAAGAACCCAAAAATCACCTTGTTTGGAAGAACAACAACAAATAAATGCAAGCAAATCAATGGGTATCTACTTTTTTAGAAAAGTAGTATCATCCTATAGCATGCCACACAACTGGACAAAAACAAACAAACATTAAGTTGTGTAAAACTTATCAGCAGCTGCAAGAACGTCGAAAAAAAGAATACACAATAGCAATGAAAAAAAAAAAAAAAAAGGAACCAAAAAATGACCTTATCTGGCGAAACATCAACAACAAATAAATGGAAGTAAAGAAATGAGTATCCACTCTTTTAGAAAAGCAGTATCATCCCAAAACGTGCTACACAGCTGGACTAACCCTGTGTTTGGATAATTCCTCTTGGGAGGAAAGAAAAGAGAGGAAAGAAAGTGAAAGAAAAGAAAAGAGGGAGGAAAGAAAATCATTTTCCACTTGTTGTTTGGATAAGAGTGGAAAGGAAAGGAAAGAAAATACATTTCCTTTGTTTGGAAGAGGAAGGAAAGAAAATGTATGATTATATATTTACTATAATACCCTTATGATTATATTTATATATTTAAATACTTATAATAAATTTGTATGAATATTTTTGTCATGAAAATAACACAAATGATGATAAAAAAATCTAGCATGTAGCATATATCCGAAATGATAACATAGATAATGAATCGTCTCCATAGCATAACCGATAACTCGTTTATTAATTAATTAATCCAATAGCCAATTTATATTAATTATCAACATAAAATTAATTTAAATATGTATAACATGTATTATTACCTATGTATATAATAAGTTTGTTGCTTTTACTCATCATTTCTTCACTTTTTTTTTAGAATAAACAATTACTATTAAGCAATTAAAAAAATATATATATTGTAACATTGCGAACAATCATCGAAAGTCAGTTGAATCGCAGAAAATGAGACAAATCACAAATAATTTTTATTTCTTCATTTGCGGTAACTCCAAAAAGTGTTCGAGGGGCTGTCTTGAGAGATATTTTGTGTCTATTTTGGTAGGTTTTTTGGGGGGTTTTTATGGGTGGTTTTGAAGCTGGTTGGGGGTGTTTGTGGAGCTTCTTTGGTGGTTCAAATGGCCTTTCCAAAGGGGTTACTCTGTAACGGTTTTCAGGGGCTGTTGGTAACAGTTTCGGGGCTGAGTTTGGGGGCTTTTCGATAGGTGTTGGGTCTGTTTTGGGGGTTGGTTTTAAGCCTCATTTTTTATGGGTTTTGGGGTTTTTTTGGGTTTTTTTGAAGCTGGTTGGGGGGTGTTTGTGGAGCTTCTTTAGTGGTTCAAATGGCCTTTCCAAAGGGGTTGCTCTGTAACAATTTTCAGGGGCTGTTGGTAACAGTTTCGGGGCTGAGTTTGGGGGCTTTTTGATAGGTGTTCGGTCTGTTTTGGGGGTTGGTTTTAGGCCTCATTTTTTTATGGGTTTTGGGGTTTTTGTGGGTGGTTTTGAAGCTGGTTGGGGGTGTTTGTGGAGCTTCTTTGGTGGTTCAAATGGCCTTTCCAAAGGGGTTACTCCGTAATGGTTTTCGGGGCTGTTGGTAACGAGTTTCGGGGCTTGTTGGTAACGAGTTTCGTGGCTGAGTTTGAGGGCTTTTCGATAGGTGTTGAGTCCGTTTTGGAGGTTGGTTTTAGGCCTCGTTTTTTAGATGAAAAGTTATGCACTCACAAGCACTACCTCGAGCAATTATCAATTAAGCTCGATAAAAAAAAGAGTAATTACAAATTCATTTCCTCTACGTGAGTAATAATTCTTGAATCAAAGGATGGATAAATGGAAACTCTAAATTATTTGACAAAGGAAGGATACGAACATCACAATACAATTTTACATCCATTATCTCATGTACTTCATATAATTATGTAAGTTATACATACACATTATAAATAATTATGAAAGTCTTAGCATCAATTTGTTTAGCTACCATATTCAAGTTACATGAGTTTCTAGTTAAGTCATTATAATTTAAGACAACATCCACATATAATATCCGCTAAATACACTTGAACATCACAATACAACAAAAATTCAAGTGTGATTCGAATCAATTCCCTTGCATTATATTTCAGCAATTGATTGCACAAATAAGTAGCCCAACCGCAAATTAAAAAACAAACAAAATTAATGAAGCAGACAGTGCACATTAAGTAACAATAAGGGAACAAGTTTGCATAAATTTGAAACAATTGAAACAAACAACAAATTATACTCCAATTTGTGTATGATTAACTTACTTTCATCGACCACCTCTTTTAGCCATCACCCGTGTTAGAAATTCAAGTCTTCTATGACGAGGCAACCCAAAGAATTGTCATGTAAGTGATGCGTTATCGACCAAAAAGCGATATGCACTCATTTGGAAGCTAGATTGCAATCCTATCGCCTCAAGCTCGTTGAATATCTCATCCTCATGAAAAAAATTCGACGTCCCCTTTCTAAAATTGTCAATGACCTTTGTGCAATGAAGTTTCCTTCTTCAAGTATTGAATTGCCCCTTTCTAAAATTTCCAACGACTTCTCCGCAATTGCATTTCCTTCCTTCATTACTTCGGAGACTTCTTTCATTCCTAAACGCACCATTTCGGATTGACTCGAATTGCTTCCACCATATGAGATTTACGTTTAGTGCCTCTAGATGAGTTTGTTTCTTCGGAATTGGGCGAAGCTATATAATCGGGAGTATAGTAGCTAGCATTTGCATGGTACCTTGGGTTTTGATTCCCCCAATTTGTTTCACTATTTGATGTTATGTTATTATCCTCATTGAGATCAAATTGGCTCCACGAACCTTCCCTTTCCCACATCATCACCCTCTCTCAAGCACTTGCGAACCCTCTCCAGCTTGCTCTATCTTGGCCATATATCCGATACAATTTATCATAGTTGTTGATTGGATGATGCATCCACTTTCGCGCTTCGGTTTTGCCTACACATTAAGAGTAATTTATCATACACTTTGCAAGTATATATATTCATAAAAGTTATATATGATAGTCACCCGAATTAGCTCTCTCCAAACCTCGGCACTTGCTTCAAAAGTCTTTGTCTCGGGATTCCAACCAAATCCACTTGCACCATGAAATAAGTCTTTCACCTCACTAAAAGTTGTCTTCAATGTCTTTTGTCTATTCTTAATATGGTTCTTTTGGATTTGATTTCCAAATTTAGCCCTTAGACCTCGCAACATATTATCTAAGGTTGTTGTTGTCCAATGTCCATCCGGTCGATTACCTTTGATTTTCTCTTCAAGCATGCAATCAATTAATACATTATCCATTTCAACACTCCAATATATATTGCTTCGGTAGAACCATCGTCCCGTGAACTCCTTTCGTCGCTTCCCCTACGCATCTTCTATACTCGCAAAGCATCAATTTTAATTCAACAATATTGTAAATGTTTGGCATTGCATGGAAATACGTTAAGAACACAACAAACGATCATAAGTGTTAAAATTAAGCACTTTATTAACTTGAATTAATGTCATAATTCATACATACTTATGTAATATATCTCGAAAAAATACAACAATACACGTTAAAAACACGGACATCATCAAATTTAATAACAGGAAAAGCATTCAACTAATTGATTTAGTTGCATTCTACAAATTTTGTTCATAGGCATTCCACATTTCGATTGCTATAGAATCTCGCAAAAGTGCCCCTTGTCTTGCTTCATGATCGGTAGTGCGTCCATCATATATTTCTTGGTTATCTTGACTATCACTTTCAAATAGCTCTCTATCAACTTCAGCAAGGATAAGCATCATCGAATCAACTCCAATCAAATAGTTATGCAATATAAAACAAGCAAGCACTATGTATGTCATTGTATGAACCGAGTAATGTGGTTCCGTTCCACTTGCGATGATTGGAAATCTTTTTTTCATTACACCAAATGCTCTTTCAATGACATTTCGAAGGGAGGCGTGACGATGGTTGAATAACTCCTTATAATTCGAGGGCCACGTACGTAATATTCTTTCAAATGGTATCGCACACCTCTATATGGGGTGAGTAGTGTACTTTTTAACATGTAACCCGCATCCACCAAATAATATTTTCCTATGAAAAATGATTACATATGGTTAGAAGATATATAGTTACATTCAAAAACACGGGAGTAGAACTCTAGAATAATTAAACTAACCTCGAGGAATTATCAGCTTGTCTTCCCTATCTAGTGCATTTTTTAAAATTCTTGAATCGAGGTCGTTCCCTCCCATCCGGCTAAAACATATGTAAACTTCATGTCAAAGTCACAAGCAGCCTAATACATTTTGTGTTGGCCAATCTTTTCGACCTCGATATCCGATTGCAATATCATTTGGTACCTTAACACGAATATGTGTTCCATCTATTGCCCCAATACAATCCCGTATAAATTTATATGTATAAATGATTTCATATATCATATAATTGTTAAATAAATAAATAACTTAGAAAAGTTGCTTAAGTAAAATATAAAGAAGGTTTCTTACCTTGAAAAAAGGAAAAAATATACTACTATTTCTAATCCGATGTGGAACCTCCGAACCAAGTGGTTGTCTAAGCGAGTTCGCTTTCAAGGGAAATCACTCGCTCGCAACACATTATGAAAATGTCGACTAATAGTTTCACTCGACCGATGAAAATAAAATACGAGCTCTCGATTTTTCCAGTTGTGACCTAAAATGTGGAGGAACTTAGCAACTTGCTCCTCTACCGTTGCTCGCCTATAGTCCTTCAAATTACCACTTCCTCTCAACATCCGACATAAGTGGAAGAAAGCTTGGGGACTCATTCGTACAATATCTCGACAGGACGTCTCATTTGAAGTTAACCTATTTACTAATTCTTGTCGTAGATGATCTCTTGCAACGACTTCCTTTGGGTATAGGTTTACGAACTACAAATGCTTGAGCATTAATTAGGTGTAATGCATGCACAAGATGACAAATTAGTTGTAGAACAGACCATTCGACGTCTTCTTTCCCAATTCTCAATTATCCTTCGATGCCGTTCTTGACATTCCTTAATTTTTTTCGAATGTTTTGCAACTTTCTCGAGACCGAAAGAACATCACCATTTACTTGTAGCAAGTTCCCATTCACCGTATTACATCTTTGTCCTTCATCATGCATGTTCTCAATGACATTCATTTCCATCTATGTTACATGCAAAATATTGTAATATTACTATCTAAACTAATGGCATAAAAACATAAACTCGCTTGAAAGTAAAGAGTGCATATATGTAGCATGACATAATATCGAAACACGAGATCAAATGATATATGTTGATAGATTCCAAATACAAATATAGTTTAATAATAGCCAAATATATAAAAAACTTACCTCTATTAGTT